TTACTTATACCCATTATCACTTTGAAAGTCTTCTTCTCCCCTTTCTTCTTCTTTTGTTCTTCTTCTATAGTTTTTTTTTTATTTTTTTATTTTTTTTTTATTTTTATTTTTTTATTTTTTTGCTGCTGTATTTCAACGCGGGAATTATAAATCTGGAAATATAAATATGTAAATATATGAGTGTAATATGTTTACATGTTTATATTTATTGTTACAGTTATATTTTTTTTCGTCCGGTTCATTTTTCGGTTTTTTAAATTCTGAACTTGTTTAATTGTATAAAGATATTTCTTTGAATGTGTAAAATTGAAACCATTTATGGTACGTTAATAAGTTGTATTTGTGTGCACTTGTTTTATATTAAAAAGTTTTGTTTGCTTTTACTTATAGTCATTTACGTGTTTTACTTATTTCCAGTTCACTTGTCCCACTATTTTTATTACCCGATTGATGAGCCAAGTTAGAAAGTTAGGTTTGTTTCAGTTTTTTCACTTTTTTTACAAATGTCATAACACGTGATTTTGGTGTCGTTGGTTTTACCCACAAAAAACGGAGTTTTTGGTTATTTTTTTTTCTTGCATTATAAATCTTAATTGGTTACTGTTAAAAAGGTACAGTAAGAGTAATTTTTTTCGAGAGTTTCGACGATATTGGAGCCAATCTTAAATCATTTCTTGGGTTTTACAGAAGCGTGATTTTTTCTTTCATTTGTTGCCCATTGGTGCGTTCCGTAGGTTTGCAACTATATCAAGTCATTAAGTAATTTTGATTTGTGAGGTTGAAAATGAGCTGGAATAGATATCAGCATTGATTGTTTCGCATGGGTATGGGGAGGATGTAGAAATGAAACCTTTTTTCCATTTATTATGCTAGTTCTTTATTGCTAAAATGTTTTTTCGAAGATCTGAAAGTTTGAGGTGAGATGGACTACAAAAAAGTCAGTTAGTTGAGGAATTTGCACACCTAATTGAGAAATGGAGAGTAACGGTAGGTTGTAGAACCTTGGTTGAATCCCGGCTCGTAACATTATAATGCTTGGCGGAATAGCAGTATTCCTAGCTTCCATGGTTTTATTTCCATGTTGTTTTGATGAATTATTTTTGGCGAATCGGCAATTCATTTATCTATTTATTTACTTTTTGTTCGATTTATTCGGTGGGTGTGGTGGGAAGCAGTTAGAATGTATAGTCGCGTTCATTTCTAATTGTATGCCAGGAGTAGTGGCGGGAAAATGAACTTGTTTTGGGAACGGTTCCAGCAAATATAGCGCTGTATCACTGCGGTGTTAACAGGTTCCTGTACGTTAAGCCGGCAGACTTCGGAAAGGTATGCAAAACTTTCTATTACTCGTGTGTATGAGGCGTAACAAAGAGCTTTTGTTTAACAGTGTTTAACCTGTTTGTTTTTGGAATCTCGTGCTTTTTGGCCTCCACTCTACCGAGATTCTAGCAGAAATGTGAAAGCATCTTTGTTTTACACATTACCTTATAACTTAACTACTTTAATAAGTCAGTTAGTTGCGCGGAAACAACTGTCAATTTCTCTACTGTGGGATTCTACGTAGTTAGAGGTTATAGAGTGTGTGTGAGGAAAATTTAGGGTCTGGACCACTAGTAGGAAGATACGCTGTCTTGAAATGGTAGTCGGGAAAAATCTCTTCACCAATAATTGGGGAAATACGTAGTAGAAGAATGATAAATAGTAAAAAAAGAAACAGTAAATAAACGAGGGGCAGCAGATTTACCAGTGTTGATTTTTTTTTTTTTGCATGTTTTTGGAAAGAAAATAGTTTTTTTCAAGCAAAAATTTGAGAGTACCTTTGACATTTTTTGTCGGCGGTCGTCGAAGAAGACTACCGTATCTGTCTCTCATACGCTATATGCAAAAAATCAAAGGTATTCTTGAGTTTTCGCTTGAAAAAGAACCATTTTTTTTCCGAAAACATGCAGAAAAATTCAACACTGGTAGTATTGCTGTCCCTCTTTCATTTGCTTTTTCTTTTTTTCAGTATTATTTCTCTACTACTATTTTTAAATATATCCTTAATTATTGTTAAATAAGTTTTCCGACTAACATTATAAGACAGCGTATCTCCCTCCTAGTGGTCCAGACCCTATATTTTCTTCGCACACTATAACTTTTAACTACGTAGAATAGAATCCCACAGTAGAGAAATTGACAGCTGTTTCCGCGCAACTAATTGAGTTATTAAAGTAATTAAGTTAAAAGGTAACGTGTAAAAAACAAAAATGCTTTTACATAGCTGCTAAAATCTCGGCAGAATGAAGGTAAAAAAGCACGAAATCCCGAAGACAAACAGGTTCAACACTTAAAGAAAAGCTCTTTGTTACGCCTCGTATACATGAGTAATAGAAAAGTTTTGCATACCTTCCCAGAGTCTGCCGGTTTAACGTAGAGGTATCTCTTTACATCGCAGTGGCACTGCGCCAAAATTGCTGAGGTCGTACCATCATTTGTTTTGCTGAATTTGTTGGAAGTTGAAATTGATCATCTAAGATCATTAATTGACATTATTCAGAAGACTTGTTTGCCACACTCCTAATTAAGTTTATTCGAGTTTATTCAAGTTCCTTGTGAATTACATTCACAACACAGTTTGCGGAAATTGTTTAGAAGCCCTAACTTCAAAACAACAATACTAAAAATAGTCCTTTGCAGACATTTGAATGGATGTTGGGGTTCAAAAAGAAGGGTCGGAACTGCATAATTTAGTCTGTAGCAGCTCCAGTATCGTCAAAATTTATCTTTTTTTCTTTTCTTATACATTTTTTTTAAATTTTGAATGAAGCAGTGATTATGTAACATATGTTGTTAAGTTTTTTATTTTGTATTATTGACAGGGTTTCAGTGGTTTTAGATTTTGAAGACATCCCTTTCTTTGTAAATATAGTAAATTCATCGAGTGTTTTGCTGCATTGTGAAGAAATCGTTTTGTTTTAAGATTTTACTGGTATTTTGACAATTATGTTCTTTATGGTGATAATGCTGAGTTCAATACTTCTCTTCAATTTTTGCAAGAATTTTACGTTTCGTTATCCTAGGTCTCAGTGAAGTATGAATTAATCTTGTTTTACTTTTCGACCGTTGAATTCACGTTATTTTTTTAATTACTGAAGCAGCATCGTTGTTCGCTTTCTAAAATTTGAGTTTCGTATTTTCTATGGATCTTTGTTGATTAACTGATTTTGTGCCTTTCCTCTAGTGGTTTTGTCGAATACTGAGGGTGTTTTGTTTATTCTTTGTGTTACACGTAATTTCAGGATTTCTGGAGTGTCAACTTGTTCTTACTCGTTTTATTGTATTTTGATCTTCCTATATAGTATACTAGGCGTCGTAAAATACAGTTGTGGGTCACAAAAATCGGTTGTAATGTAAACATAAATGCAATTTTAGTTGAAGTTTTTTGTCATTATTTCACTCGAAAATTGGTGTGAATAAACTCGAAAAGCATGACGGATATTCTAGAACAAGGAGATAATGATTTGGAGTTGTATACAGACGGAGATTTCAATGAACGTGACGTCCTTGGTGAAGACGATGATAATGATGTTGGAAAGTAAGTTGTTCAAGTATAGTTGTTCGTTGTGTGTAAAAAGGTTCACGCACTGAACTGCAATATTGTTGTTGATTAACGTAATTAGTAACATTTAATGAAAGCGAGTTCCTATTTATCTTTAACTTCTTGAGTTTCTTTATCCTTCTTGTTCTGTATAATGTGCAAAAAAAAAAAGTGAATGTTGTTAGGCAACCGTCTTCGGTTTCGAAATTGCTGGAAAATATTGATAAGAAATAAGTTTGTTGTGAGTGTTCAGTACAATCTCATTTAATGCAATTTATCGGAAAAAAAGTTGTTGTTCTTTTTACCTTCCTTATCAGTAATTTTGTAATACTCCACTCAGGTTAATTCTTTTATCGTAAATTCTGTAGTAGTATATTGACCGACTTTATCTCCCCTAAAAAGTTGCCTGGTCTTCGACTGATTGATTACTGTTAATACTCTTACTTGGATTGGAAGCTTTGTATTTCGGCTTTTGTGAACTTCGTTGCTTTCGTAGTCGTTCCGGCTAACATATAAATTTATTTGAGTTAAGGTTGAATTTTTACTCACTTTATCGTTGTTTAGAGAAAGATGGACGCTTTAAGTAAAATTATTTGTTGAGTAAACTTTCGGTTGGCTAGTCCTCTAATGATCGTATGCTGACAGATCATTAACCACTAATCTGTTGTTTCATCTTTATTTGCTAGGACTGCCGACCACCTGATTTGTTTTGGTTTACATTAAGTCTTATAACTTAAAATATTCATTCTGATTATTCAGACACGTATCTGTTCATCTTCCTGTTCTCCTAGCTTTTTCTACGGTATATGCAGAAGTAGCTTCATATATTTAAACGCACGGATTGAGGCAGTTCATAGGTCTTGGATTGGAGACACTTCTGTTTCAGAGAAGAAAGCAGTTTTCTGCATCATTTGTGCGTGGCACATTGTGCGAGAGCTGGAAAGTTTTGTGTTTGGGAAGCTTCCTTTCTAATTGTTTTAGAGAAGATGTTGCAAATAACAGCGGGACAAAAAATGGATCTACTCCGGTGCCGAAACCGAAGTCCAATGACTCAGATCTGTATGATGCTGCCATTGAACCTTCGGAACAGCATGGCACATCCACTGCTAGCAAGACTGATTCACCACCTGCAGCTCGACAGACAAACAGTTCAGGGACAACACCAACGACTCAGCCATCAAATCCATCACAGGCACGTAATTTGCCGGCGTTAGGATCTAGTGCTAATTCGTCGGGGCGCAGATATTGTTGTTACATTGGTGAGTTTTCTAAACCAAGCGATATTTGAAAGGATACTTTTTTCTTAGCAATCTATATTTAGTTTTTTTTTGCATTAATTGTTTTTTGTTTGTAATTTGTTGGATCATTGCTGTCGGTATCGCGCAATGTATCAGTTTATCCAGTTTATTTATAAAATGTTGAAAACAATTACTTTAAGGGAACATGACCTGGTGGACAACAGATGTTGACTTGCAAACCTTAATACTGTCTTGCGGCGTATCGGACCTAATTGATATAAAGTTCTATGAAAATCGTAATAATGGCCAGAGTAAGGGCTTTGCGTTAGCAGTTTTTCAAGCCGAAAGTGCTGTTAAAACAGTGATGGAGAAATTGCCGCAGCGAACACTTCATGGGCAGCAGTTGGTAGTATTGCCATATACGAAAGCTTCACTTGCGAAATTCGAGGATGCCACTAGACGTCTCGACCAAGTAAGTGCATTTCGATATCCGTGTTTCTTCCTCTTTATTTTACTTTATAATACTTTTTAGAGAAGTGATAAAAAAGATTCAAAGAAAGACGATGTGAAAGGGCCGTTCCTGGGGACTATTCGAATCGGAATGCCACCACCAGTTCAACAGTCACAGCAACCACAAATGACTTTGCCTCCTCCTGTCGCGCTTAGACCACAGGTGACTTCCTGTTCTATGCTTTTCATTCATTCTACACCATATTCTTCTAGTCCTCGAGATTTTTTTATCGTTTTTGCAGGTGCAGGTGCCGCCTCCTATACCGAGTTTGCGTCCACCAGCCCAAGTTCCGATGATGATACCTCAGCAGCAACCTCCGCAGGTACGTGCTCCTCCTCCACCAACCCAACCAGTTCCATTGGCTGGCATTGCAGTCGGAGGTGCTCCTATCAACCTCAACGCTCCCCCACCAGCTATTCCCGGTCAGGTTCCTATTGGCGGTCAGTATGACTATTGCTTTACTCTCAATACTTTCTGTATGGGTGTCAGTAAATTGGAAAACAGTAGCGTCTACGAAAATTTCTTGCTCTCCTCTTTACTTTTAGTTCATTAAATTACTGTTGATTTCAGGAGCACCACAAATGAACAGACCACCTCCAGCATTTCCGCATCCGTCTCAAGGAGTACCACCACTTTCAAGTGCTGGTCCTATGCCGCAAGCAGCAGCACCTCCGACTTCACATCCACCTCCTGGCTTTCCCCCTCCAGGGGCACATATAAATCCTCAGATTTATCGTCAAAATTTTGGAGGTACTTTTCACTTGTTCTATGGTTGATTCATCTGATGTTCGCTTAATGCTTTGATATTTCTTCTAGTTTTTAGCACTGTTAAATTTTTTTTTTTTTTTTTTTT